TCTAAATGTTTCTTATTTTTCTTACACTTCTGGGAAGATATCTTCTTTTAGTATGTATACAATTGAAGGTTTTTGTCTGGAAACTGACTGATCTAATTACTAAATGAATTTTTTTTTTTTTTTTCAACATATTCTGGAATGTTCGCACTCAAAGTGCAGCAGCTGCATTGGTTCTGGACCATGCTGGTTTCCTTGTACATTGTCATGTGTTTAGGGGGGTCATTTTGTTTTTTTAGCAGCATGATTCCCTTACTCTTGAAATGGTTGAGAGGCTTGCTGCATTCAATATCAGTGAGAAAAGGTGCATGCAGCTCAGCATTTTTCTAAAAAAAAACCCCAGACTTCTTTGTGAATAAATTTCTCGGAAGAGTAAATACTAAGTGAAAGATTGTTTTCCATTATGCATACTTTCTTGTATCCCTTTTGAAACACATCTACCCACTGCTTCAAAACAAAGTTATCTTCAGCTATGTGGATTTTGTTATATATTGAACATTATTCTTTGCTTTGTGTGTGGTTGGCGGGTGCTCTAGTGTGGTTTGCTCCTTCTTTCCTATCAAACATCTATCGCCCTTATCTTTCTTTTTTCTTTTTTTTTTTACTTTCGAAGCAATACCTGTGAAGTTCAGGACTTAATTGACCAATTGTGTTGCAGGTGCCATAAAGCTCATACTTGAACTGAACACATGCTATGTTTTACTTACCCTCCTCAAAGGTGTGATATGAATTTTCTCTTTCTTTTCCAGAGCTACTTTTTGATCGACACGTTGGGTCAATTATTTCTGATGACCTTGATGCCCTGATGAATGGACCAATCAGGAAGAAGCTGAAGATAATTCCAGATGATGTAGAATGGGGAGGTAAGACTTGAGAGCATTTAGTTGACTATAGCCTGTGGGTTAATTGTTTAGTCTGCCCTTCGGGTTCTAAGTTTGCTTATTTTTCTGTGGTGAATTGATATGGATATAACACTAACTGCACCTGAATTGAAGAATTATTTTGCAACGATGGAAATTATGTTCGTCTTGTTCATACAAAGTGAGAGTGACACATAGCGGAACAAATAAAATTGAATTAATGATTATACATGTATGAATGCTTAGTTTTGTAAGCACAGTATTCTCAAATTTGTAATAATTTTTTTAGATAATTTTTCTCCGTATCACTTTTGAAACTTTTGGACTCTTTTGAACAAGACTGTCATTCAGTGCTTTATTTAGAGAGACTACTATGTATAATTGAATTAAGATGTCATTCTTTTAAAAAGAATTGCCCTTACATTTTCCTTTGCACAACCACACCATCTGGTCAGTACAGCAACATGCTTTCTGTGAAGAGAAATTTGATATAGATTTTCACTTCACTTGCTTTTGTTTTGCAGATTCTGATAAGAAAATCATTAAAAATTCATATGTGTGACAGCATAATGTTTAAAACCATTTTTGACTCTTTACTTCCTTCTTTCTTATCAAACCTCTATCATCCTTATCTCCCCTT